AGCAACAGCAACAACAACAACAACAACAACAACAGCAACAGCAACAACAACAAAAACAACAGCAGCAACAACAACAACAACAACAGCAACAGCAACAGCAACAGCAACAGCAACAACAACAGCAACAGCAACAGCAGCAGCAGCAGCAGCAGCCGCCGCCGCCGCCGCAGCAGCAGCAGCAGCAGCAGCAGCAGCAACCACAACAACCACAACAACCACAACAACCACAACGACGACGACGATGACGACGACGACAACAGCAGCAGCAGCAGCAGCAGCAGCAGCACCAGCAGCAGCAGCAGCAGCAACAGCAGCAGCAGCAACAACAACAGCAACAACAACAGCAACGACGACGACGACGACGACGACAACAGCAGCAGCAGCAGCAACGACGACGACGACGACGACGACGGCGGCAGCGGCGGCGGCGGCGGCGGCGACGACTACGACCTCGACTTCGACTTCGACTACTACGACGACGACGACCACCACCACCACCACCACCACCCTTACCACTACCACTACCACTACCACTACCACTACCACTACCACCACCGTCACTATTGCTGTTACTCTGATTGCTCATACTTTTGCATCTGGAGTGTAGGTGCTTCTCCTGGCCCGCGGCCCGCTCATGTCGCTTCCCATCGCCTTTGCTACAGACTTTCCGCCCGTGCAGGTTGGGGTTAAGGGATTAGGGTTTAGGGTTCAGGGATTAGGGCTCAGGGACTAGGGTTTAGGGTTTAGGGAAATTTAGGGAGGTTTAGAGATTAGGGTTGTTGGAATTAGGGATTGGGGTCCAGATGGGTCCGGGGTTTAGGGATTGGGGTTCAGGGTTCAGGGTTTGGGGTGTAGGCTTTTGGGGTAATGGCTTGAGCTGTTTTTGCATTCATGAAATACAAAGTTGTATAGGAAGCTGAGTGTGTTTATACATTGCAAGCCTGTATTGGAGTCTGAGTTTTGGGGGGTGCAGAGCGTGGGGTTTGGGGTTTGCCGCTTAAGGTTTGGGGTTTCGGGTTTAGGTTTTGGGGAGTAGTACATAATCACTGGTCGTAGGTTTTGTATGGGGTTCAGGGTTATAGCGCGGGCCTGCTTGATCTGACTACAGGAGAAGGAAATGGAAAGCAAATGGCATCATGAAATGGAGCCGGGCCTGTATTTGGGATATGTGGAGATGGGGTGTATGGGCGCATTCAATTTCAATAGGGTGTTGTGCTATTTTGCACTAGAGTCCTTCTTCTTTTAGATGGGAGAGCGTTGGCAATTATTGACGCGTCTGCATTACCTGGCCATGCCTCGGGTCTCAAGAACTGCATTAACCCCTACCCATGATCAATAAACCCCCTCCCCTTAATAGGGATTATAGTAGGGATCCTAATTTCAAGGCCCTTAAAAGGAGGGATTTGTTAATCATGGGTCTACATTATGCTGGCACGTGTGGTTCGAAGTAGAGGAAAGCTTGTGTCAAAAATTTTCGACCTCAAATTTATTGTCTGGCTTGTTGTTAAGGAACTTAAGATAAGTCATTATATTATATAGGGATATAACAAATAGTAGGGTTGCCTTATTGCGGTAATTTAATTTGACTGCTTCACAGCAGCGCAGTTCTCCAAGGTGACGTGCATCATTCTGGTTTTCCTGGTTTTCCTCATCGTGGAGGCACACACGTGGCCTTGGAAGGTCCCACTGCTTAACGTGATTGACTGCTCCTGGATGCATTTAAGCATGTTTTAGCGCTTGCGGTTTACCGGAGGGAACCATGCACAATACAATATACCTGAGGTGGACCCCCTAGAAGTGATCACTATAAGGCAAAATGGTAACAACATTAGGATCCTAGTATGTTCCTACTATACCACTATTGCAGGGTGCGGGATCCACCTAAAATTCACCCAATGAAGTTCAGTAGTCTAAACCCTAAACCCGAATTCCCGAACCCTAAATGCCTGATAGACCTGAAGGTGTATGTATTGCTTTCATTCTTTTTTAGTTTGTTGCCCAAAAGGACTGTAATGTAGAAGCCTGAATTAAGTAGGGCCTAGGGCTTAGGGCATAAGATGCCCCAGCTGAATGTACTATAGTAGTTCCTTTCTTTTCCATGATCCCTATATACCCCAATAAACCCTAAACCCTAAGCCCTAAACCCTAAACCCTGAACCCTGAACCCTGAACCCTAAACCCTAAACCCTAAGCCCTAAGCCCTAAACCCTAAACCCTAAACCCTAAACCTACTCTACTAAAACTGGGGCCAAGCAATGTTTTTGTTCGTCCGCGGGTTGCTTCATCCCTGATCCCTAACCTCCAGGCTGCACACCTTTGGGTTGCTGTTAAGGAACTTAAATCAAGTTACCATCATGGGTATATGTAGTAAATAATAGGGCTTCCCCAATATAGTAACTTAACTTAAGTTCCTTAACAGCAACCCAGACCTTCAAGCCATACGTCCTTAGAACCTTAGGGTTGGAGCTGAGAGGTTTTGTGTTTAAGGCTTAGGGGTTCAGGGTTTAGGGGTTCAGGGTTTAGCCCTAAGCCCTGGGGTTTAGGGTTTAGGTGTAGGGACTCTCTAGAATCCTACAGCTCCTTTGAGCAGGGTTTAGGGTGTAGAGTTAAGCATAGGAAGTCTTGAGCCCCCCAAACCCTAAACCCTAAACCCTAAGGCCAACTTCAACAACAAAAACTTGGGTCAATCCACCCTATAGTAACGGCTCCTCAATATGGCAGTAATAGGGCCCAATATAGCTGCAACAGTCAAGGCCCAAAACAAAACCTTCTTGGCACCAAGCTCTAAACTCTGAACCCCTAAATCGTAACCAAGGCTTCATCGGATTCTGCGTCACCATGCTTCTGAGCTGTCTATGGCGTAGGGTTTGGACCTTCAGGGTGTAAGGTGGGCTCTAAACCCGAAACGCAGGCCCTGAACCCTCAACCCCGTAGGCGTTGGGTGAAGGGCTTGTTTTAAACCAGCGCCGGGCTGGTATCCGTAGATTTGGAGTTGGGTTTATGGTTTAGGACCCTTAGCACTGAACCCTACATCCGATACCCCTGACCCTAAACCTTGAACTCTGAATCTCAAAACCTACCTTCAAACCTCAAGCCCTGAACCCTAAGCTTTGAACCCTAAACCTAAAACCCACGCACCCTGGCCTTTAAAGCTTGAGTTCTACATCCGAAGGCCACAAACCTTGAAGCCCTATCCCTCAGCTCTGAACCCCAAACCTAGACCCATAAACTCTTAAAAACCCAAAAACCCTTAATTTCCTCTCTCTCTGGGCTATTATCTTCAAGGCTAATCGCTTCCAACATGCTCCATCTTGGGCAGATTGAGGGCAGCATGCAGGATCCTCGGATGTCTAACAGTTGCCTAGGCTTTAGGGTGTGGGTTTTAGGATTGATAGGGCTTAGGGTTTAGGATTGATATGGAACGCAGCAAAGAATCCTTACTATATGGAGTCGGACATTATTTTGGTTGTCGGTGGGTGTATGAATGTGATGGTTGAGTGTGTGTATTTTGTGCACCATAAATGAGAATCCTACCATATATAATCCCAACAATAGTACAGTAGTCACCGCAGCCCATTCCCTAAACCCCAAAACCATTTCCCCTCCATTGCTGCTTGGCAGAAGAGAGTCCGCTGATGTTGCATGCCGCAAGGGAAGCTGTGGGGACAGAGTTTGGCTTTGGGGTCCAGGGTTCCAAAGCCCTCTAAACCCGAAACCTTTTAGGGTTTAGGGTTTAGGGTTCCTAAACCCCTAAAGCCCTAAAACCCTAAAATCTAAACCCAATATACTTCCCTACAGGGTTTAGGGGTTGGGGTTGGGGATTCAGGGCTTTGGATTCATGGTGCTGAGGGGGCCGGGGATTGAAGCCTGGGGCCAGGCTTTGGGATTGGGCGTTGAGGGTTTAGGGTTTAGGGTTTAGGGGGTTTAGGGTTTAGGGGGTTTTTAGGGTTTAGGGGGTTTAGGGTTTAGGGTTTAGGGGGTTTAGGGTTTAGGGTTTAGGGCCGATACAGTAGTACCAAACTGGCCTTTAATTGGGAGTTGAAAT